AGGTCATCTCAAGAACTTGTAATTCTGCCTTGTGTATTTTACATTAATATCGCCTTGCAATTTTGAGACCTGATGAGAGCACCGAGAAATCTGTGTCTCTATACAGCCAGAAGCTTTCTAGAGAAGGAGAGAGCACCTTCCTCTACTGCTGTACCTGCCTTGGCCAGACTTACAGCCATCAGCTGAGATAAATGAGTGCAGTTGCCTTGAAGCAGAGCTGAGCAGACTGAGGCTTGGGGCTGACATATTATCCCAGGCTGTGCTGAAAAATAGGTGGTTTTGAAACTTTGCTCGTGTGTTATTCCTGGCTCTTGGTTTGCATGCCCAAACAAATCTGATGTAGACTTGCAAATTAGGTCGTGATCAATCCCCCTTCCAAAACTTGCCCCATAAAGGTGGAGAAGTCTTTCAAAGGTGTGAAAAAGCAGCGGGTGCCTTTCATTTCCCAGTGCTGCCCCGGCTACGTCACGAGAAGGACAAGGGTCTGTTTTGTCACTCCCCTACTCCTTACAGCCCTGGCGGCTTTAAAATAGGGTGGCTTTTATCAAGGGCAGCTACGCAGAGTCCACCCCCGCAAATGCACGGGCAGCGGCAGCGACTCAGAGCCTTTGTCACTCCGGGTTGCACCTGAGACCTTTGGGTAGCGGCGCATACGGGCTGCCCTCGCTTGCGGTAGCTGGAGCTGGCACTTGCTGCGCTGCATACAAAATATGTGTGAATGTATATCAAAATCGTATTCTGTGTTTAGCCAAAATAGCATTTTTGGTTCTGTTCAGCACTGTAAAAACATTTCTTTTTCTTGGCGCCTTATCTGCCAGACACATGGCGTGGCTGGGAATCTGTTATTTTAAACAGCAGCTTCTCTTCTTTCTCTCTCTCTCTTAACCTCAATACCACAAGCAAACTATCAATATAAAAGCATTTTTTATGACCTTGAAACTCCAAGAATGTATGTCTTGATAAAATTCACACTCCTGCTGTATTTGTCTTATATCTACAGTGTGAATCAATATTCCTATTCAGTTGCCAGCTTGAAGAAAAATATTTGGGCTTATTGCAGATCTTAAAGCACTATATACATTTTCTCCCCCATATCACTGAATTCTTACAGCAAGATCTTCTTTTCCAAGTCTTGGCTACTATTAAATTTAATGACTTCCCCTGCAGCCTTAAACCAAGGGCAGCTTCAAAATGAGGGTGGGTCTTATTAAATGCAATTACTTTACCCCCGCAGCCTTCAAGGTAAAGGTCCATGGGAAAGGTGAAGCTGGAAAATGGGGACACCTCCTCGTACAAAGCACACAGAAGGGAGCGCTACTGACTGATGGACCCCCTCCGAACAAAGACGTGGGGATTCGTAGGCCTGTGGCATCACTTTAAAAGATGGTGCAAGTGTGTTTGATGGGAAAAACGGAAAACGGACAGACATTGATGACTGTTCCTCTTCTCTGATGGACCAAAGTTGTTCTGCGATGCAGAAGTCCTAGCGGACTGGCTAGAAGTCCCTGGATTCAGACCAGCAGGAGACAGAATCAGGCCTCCCTAACAAATGAGATATTAAGCCAAGACTACAGTGAGTGCCTGATTCTCCCTGGCAGGTATTTTATTTAGCTGCCAATTTCTATCCAAAGTCAGTATAAAAGAGCACAAAATCCACTGCCTAAACTATTGTACTCCAGGTACACTAAGCAAGAATTTGCCTGCTCTGCCCCTAAAGGGAAGGAAACCTCAGAATCCCTTTGAAACGCACCAAATACACGGGCAGCTCTTACAGCAGTCTGCAGGGGCGAGCAGAGATGTGTGGGGACACAGGGCAATTTCCAAACAGCTTATTATTCGCACAAGATGTTTGCAGAGGAATCTCTCTGTGAGCCGCTGAAAATGAACACATTTCCAAATATCAAAGGTGAGGCAAATGCAAATACTGCCTGTGAGGGAGCACGAGACAGCAAGTGCTGAGATCCCATCAGCAGATTAATCACATGCTGGACCTGGAGGCAACTTCAACATCGCAAATACAACGGCATAGCGTGCTCTGCCCAGGAACCAGAACTTGCCACTGGAAAACTGTTTTTTAACAGCCTCAGAGAGATAGGCACTGCGATTGCTGTTTAAATAGAAGGAGAAAAGGGAAGCGGGGAGAGACAGCATACGATGAGGTCAGAGCATGGCAGCTCGTCCTCCTTCAGGTTCCTCCTATGAGGAAGAAACATTTTAGCAATATTTACTGGCAATAGTTTTGCTCCGTACCAAAAAGAAAATAAATAACCTAAGATGGATCAAGTTCCTCGTGGGAAAGGCTTCTCATAGGTATCGGAGGTGAAACCAGAAGGGTTTGCAGAGGTGGGTCCAGGGGAGCCCTTCTGAAGGCGGCGGTGGCTCAGGCACAAGCCCACGCAGGGAAGAGGAACCGCAGTGCGTGTCACGGCGTGGGCTGGGTGGGCAGGCATAGAGGGTGTCACGCCACAGCAGGAGATGCCGTGATGAGGACCACAGTGAGTGATCGGTCAAATATTAGCAAATATCCCAGGAAGTCCACAGGAGATCTCAAAATTTTCCTATGTGGGGTTTTTGGGGGTTTTTTTGGTCAAGGGAGAGGATCTCCCCTTTTAAATACACACCTGACAGCTGGGCATGCTGCTTTGCTGTACTGCAGAGCATGTTTCCTGCAGGTGCAGAGGTGGGGCAGGGGCAGAAATTCAACCTGGGGCTCACCGTTGTCCCCCCAAAAGAGCAAAACCACCCTCCCTTTGGGTGGCGGTCTCCCACAGGGTGCTGCGGATACCTGCAGTAGTCTCAGGAATGGACTTCTGCCGAAAGCATTTCTAACTCCTCCTTCTTTAACAGGATCCAGGGCTCATGCAAGTGTGAAATGAAAGAAGCAGCTGTCAAGAGGGAGGAAGGCAGAGAGGACTGCGTGGGTCTCCTCCCATTTCCCACCTCCAGGGAGTCACTCGCAGTGGCCATAGGGCAACCTCAGGGGTTGACTAAAGTCGCCCAGGCCTGTATGTGTGTGGTCCTCCTCCCAGAATGACCCTTGGGCTATGCAAGGGATCCTGGGGTGCTTCCTGCACTCCAGGGAAGCCTGGCCAAGATTTTCTTGTAGGATGGTGCTCAGCAGCCACGTGCAGCCTCGGTGGGCACCAACCATCAGCACGGGGAGCAAGTGCCCGGGAGGACAGCTGGGGCAGATAGGGCTGAGCCCAACTGTGGTGCTGGATGAAGCATCAGCACTCCCCATAGCCCCCCCACCCCCCACCAGGAGGAGAGAGAGGAGGAGAGAACGACCCAAGTTGCTTGGCTTTGTCTCATAATTATAATTTTGCATCCTCAGCCTTGTCACTGAATAGCTAATGTTCATTTTTTTCTTCAGAGACAGACTTTAACTGACATCTGAAGATCTGAGAAGTGATACTGGAGATTTAGATGAGTCCTGTGTGACCAGAGCCTGGGAAGAGACTCTTAGCTCCTACTTTTTTTAAAACCGGGTACCTGCCCTGCAGCCAGAAGCCATTCCTCTGGAGAGGCAGCAAGGAGGGGAGGCACTGTGGGATAAGGGCTCCAGCTGGGGATGTGGGATGGGAGAGGTGAATAGGCTGGGCATGATCAGCTTTTGTGGCATGCTTCAAAAATGCCAGGAAGGTGAATTTTGGGGAGGAGGGTGCTTTGGGTAGGCAGGAGTCTGTGGGCTATTGACTGAGCCAGAAGTCTTTCAAGGGACACTACTCTAATTCTGAAGAACTCTAATTCTGCCAGGCGATGAGGAATAACCCATTTTACATTGCCTGGGGAGCACTTCAAAACCATTTCTTTTCTTGCAGGACCGATGGCTGGCATTCTCGCTGCCAGGGAGGGTGGTGTTGCTAAGTCCGAGCTGCCCAGCCCGACAGGCCCCTTCCCACCACCAGGGATGACTCCCTTCCTGCGTGGATGCCAAGTTCAATTTAATGCTGCAAGGGCAAGCAATAAAAAGCCTGGCGTGGCCGCTCCCGCCCAGCCCGGCAGCTCCCCGGGGCAGCCGTGAGGCTTGCTTGTGGGTGTAAAGGTGACGGGGGTGAGAATGCAAAGGCAATCTGAGGGCAGAAGCAATTGTTCTTCTTCTCCCTTTCTTTATGTAAGTGCGGGAGAAGCTTGAGAGAAGCACAAGAGACACACCGGGGTCTAATTTCTAAGGGAGGATGAATGCCAGGTTTCTAAAAGCCGCTCCTTGCATTTGATTTCCTTCTGCCTTTCTCAGTTAATAATCACTGTTATTTTGTGTTGCCTGCGTCGGTATTTTTCTCGGTTATTATGTGTCTGCAAAATATTAAGAGCCCTGAAAATTACAATAATAAGGAAAAACAGCCCAGAAAAATGGTGTTAAAAACATCCCACCTGGAACATGCATTCTCAGCCTTTCTTTTCTAGTTGCTTACCAGTGTCAGCGAAGCACAATTTTGGGGAGCGAGGCAGGGGGTGGTGCGTGGTTTCTGCACCTCTCTTGTGATGCTCAGGTGGGAATTTGCTTCATGGAAGAATGCTTGTCCCATGGTTTGCTAACGCTGCCCCATCTTCGCTAATGCCCAACCCTGACACAAGGCACCGAGGGCTGAGACGCGGCCGCCGGGCCCAGCCGCTCTCTCCCTGACTGCCTCCGCGGGCAGGTGGAGATTTTCAGCCTCACTTTTTAATTTGCCTGTGCCCACGCAGTTTCTTGTTTCATGGCGAGGAGCAAAACTGCTGGGAAGATGCTGAGATGCTTCTTAGATCGCATGAAAAACTAAAACTTGATATAAGTGGGCCCACTTTATGCCACCCTACTTCTTACCCAGCTCTCTGTGAATATCTCTACTTAATCAGTAACATCCAATCTTTCACTGAACACTTCCCAAATTATTTCAGCTCTGTCGATCTGAGTCTCTTTCATATTCTTAAAATACGGCAAATATAAAAGGTATCTTGCTCTGATTTGAAATACTTGTTTATTAGAGTTTCCCCTTTTATAGGCTACAGTTTCTTCCTTAGCTGCCTGGAAAATACCAGAAAACCATTCTTGCATTTCAGGTGCATTTTCACTTCTTTTCATGTGGTCTTAAAAATATCCCCAGTATCAACTTTTCTGATTATATTTAACGACACGAGAAGAAAAAGAAATTTCAAAAAACTCAAGGTACCTTTACTGCAAACTGCACACACGTCTTCTCATCAGGTTGGTACGAAATACAAAGCATAACAAATCCCACTAAGGACACCACGCAGACCTGCAAGGGAAGAGATTTAAAATGTGTCAAAGTTAACAACAAAAAAAAACCACCGCAAAAATAACATTTTCTCAAGCCAAAACACCTTTCTGTGTTAGCAGGACCGTAACTCAAGAGGCAGTGTGTCAGTCAAGCCTTTTGGGTAGGGGCTACAGCTGCACGTGCAAGAGACTCCTATGTGTCAATGGGCTTGTGAGGAGGGAAGAGCTCAAACCTTCACGTTACAGACACCGAGGCACAAAAAAACCTTACTCACAGGAACTTTTTGAACCAGATCTACAAAGACACAGCCCAGCAATAGCCTCCAGGATGTGGTTCGAGATTTTGTCCGTGTAGCTAACTATCACAAAGGAGCAGAAGGCTTATGAAGTTGGGCTTGCAAGCCCCAACAGCACCATCCTACATACCACTGGATGCTGACAGGGATTTTATGTCACCAGTACAGGTTGCAAATCAGTAACCATAGCTGCTGCTGGATAAGTAGCAGCACACTTTAGAGCAGAGGCTTTCAATCTCTCCTAGAGTGGACACCTTACCAAAGAAGACATCTCCCCTGCAATCCAAGACTGCATTTTAGCCCTTTGGCAGTAATTGCTGATGGTTAACAGTAATGGAAATGTATTTACACACTTTATTCTTCGTTTAACTGTCTTTATTATTAATTCTGAAGATTGAGATTTATTTGCAGGAGCAGATATTCACTGGTAGGTATTTTCCAGCCACGTAAGGAGGGAAACTCCTGCTCTGAGGAACTATAAATCCAATAGTCCAATAAATATGATTTCCTTTTTAAAATAGTTTTATCTTTTCCCCCTCCCCCCCCCGCCAGTGCTAAGCACTCCAGTCAAGTGCCTTCTTCTCCCACATTTTTGGAGGATCAGCAAGCAGACTTCACAGGAGGACACAGGAGCCACAGCTCTGCAACCAGGCTGCTGTTTTCTGGCAGCTTCTCCCGCGCCTGGACAAGAGGAGCCAGGTCCCCAGGCACCCGGTGAAGGCTCCCTGCACTGCCCCAGGGCTGCCAGGGCTGGATCAGGACATGCGAGGAGTCCTGACTGCAGAAAGAGAGGGTGGTGTTGGCATCTGGAGCTACGCATGGAGGAATCTGTGCGTGTTTGGGTAGCCTTGGAGAAACAGGTGAGTCACCGGCACGCACGAGTTTTTAAATGCCACTTCATATCACACGTTTAAAAAAGGTCCAGGTGTGATGAGCCTCAGTGGGGACCTTAGCTGAGATGAGCCAGGGTGCTTCCAAACGTGCTAAGGCTCATCTTCACAAGGCCCTGGGAGCAAGCTTTGGCGTCCTTGCTAGGAACATCTTGATTACAAAAGATAGCTATTAAATTCCCAGCGACTACAGTAAGAATCTATAATTTTTTCTCCCTTCATTTTACTTCGGGGCTTTTGAAGACTTCTCATTAATTTGCAGCTTTCTGCTTTCCCAGAGCAGCGGGCTTTGCCCTCTGGGGCCAGACTCAGGGGTGGGACTACGCCATGGAGATGCCTGCAGGGGTGCGGGACTCCTTCACAGCCCCGTCCCTGCCTGCTCGCTGCCCGCTATGGCAGTGCAGCTCACATCCAGATTGCCAGCTCCACAGGGGACTGCTTGACTTGCAGTGAAAAATGCATAACTGTCCTCTGCAGTAATGGTGAAACACATTTCTTTTATGATCTGATGCATAAAACACCATTTTTTTTTTTCTTTATATCTGCATTGTTGGTGTAAGGCACTAGAAAGCAGCCCTGCGAAGGAAGACTGCCTCTCAACACATGGACCGTCGTGTCCCTCAAGAACCTGCGTGATTAATAACAC